AGTATCTTTTCTATTTCAACAAAGCTCTACATTCTTATCACAACTGTCAAATCTTAGAAGTGGGTCAAAAATTAAAGTTCAACCCATATCATTTCAAAGAAGAAAATCTCATCAGAAGGAAAATATTGATCTATCTGAAATGAAAGAATATAAAAAAAGAAAAACCACAAAAAAATCACATAATTTATCGAAAAATATTACAAAAAATAAACTAAATTAAGGGTTAAAGATTATAAACTAAAGATATTTCGAAATTTTAATTTATTTATATTGTGTGCGTTGTATATACATTATAATTGCGAAATTGCTTTATAATTATATATTATTTAATTTTAGCATTAATGAAATAAAAATAAAAATAAGATAAAAAAATTCAAAGTATCATTATTTAATTGAAAAATAAATTTTAGTATTAGCAAAAAATAAAAAAATTTGATAAAAAAAAATTTGAAGAATTATTTTCAAACTATCATCCGGACCATCATCCAGGCTATCATCTGAATCCAACCTGGTATATATTTTCTGGATGCGAAGCAGATAGTATAAAACCTTTGGGTAAACTAATTAAATTAGGTCCCAGTGGCTTGATATACTTTTATTATAATATATATTGTTTGACTTACTTAATAAAATGTTGTCACCAAAAAGATCACCTTTAACATCAAAAAAAAACAATACTCATATAAAAAAAAAACCAAAAACGACAAAACAAAAGATCTTTGAAAAATCAATTTTAGTGTTATAAATCTTATAATAGATTATAAACTTTAAAAAACTATACTGCAAAATTTTATTAACACAACTACTTTTGTGTTTTATAACTTTATTTTAAATTGATTTATGTGAACATAGCCTATATATAAACAGTATGTATCTGTAAAATAGCTTAGACGCGAACTACTTAAATTAGACACACGTGGCCAGTGTTGTCTATTTTTGATGTCCAAGTCAAATTTGGCAGACTGGACATTTTCAGACATTGTCCGATATCTGAGTCCAAATTTTGTCTGCATGAATATATTGTCACTTGGATGATGTCTGAGTAATATATCTCGGACTCAGATACTCGGACTTGGACATTTTCAGACATGTCTGTATGAATTTCATTTATTTATATTTCAATTTATTTATAATATTTAATTATATTAAAAATAAAACATTATTTATTAAAATTTTTTTTTTATTTACAAAACTTTTGCTAAAAACATTTTTATATATTTAAATTCATATCCTATGCCCCACAAATACTCCTTTTGTCTCAGGCTTCACGTTCTCTATGCAGATTCATTTACGGTGCTATTTTGTGTTCTTGAAAGAAGTACAGTCAGGATCGTTATTCTTGGTGACATTCCACGTTTCCCGGCAAAGTACTAACCTAAAGAGAAAGAATGTATTAGTGAAATAAAAAACAAACAAACAATAATAATAATAATAATAAAAAGAAACTGGTATATTCGTTATACTAGCCTTGGTCAAGATCTTCATTCCCTGGTGCCAATTCACGCTTCTTAGCAAAGTACGAACTACAAAGAAAAGAACGTATTAGTGACAAGAATGAAAGTAAGAAACAAAAAAAAACAATGGAAAAAAAGAACTAGTACGTTCATTATATACCAGTCCAGCCCAAGATCTTTGTTCTTGATGGCATTCCACGTTTCCTAGCAAAGTACTAACCTAAAGAGAAAGAAAGTATTAGTAAAATAAGAAACAAACAAAAAAAATAAATAAAATAATAATAATAATAATAATAAAGAAACTGGTATATTCATTATACCAGCCTTGGTTAAGATTTTCGTTCCCTGGTGCCAATTCACGCTTCCTAACGAAGTATGAACTACAAAGGAAAAAACATGTTAGTGACAATAACGAAAGTAAGAAACAAAAAAAAACAATGAAAAAAAAGAATTAGTACATTCATTATATACCAGCCCAGCCCAAGATCGTCATTCTCGGTGACATTCTATGTTTCCTGGCAAAGTACAAATCTAAAGAGAAAGAATGTATTAGTGAAATAAAATACAAACAAAAAAAAAAACAATAATATTGAAAAAAAGAAACTAGTGCATTTATTATACCAGCTTTGGTCAAGAACTTCGTTCCTTGGTGCCAATTCACACTTCTCGGTGAGGTATGAACTACAAAAGAAAGAACGTGTCAGTGACAAAAACAAAAGCAAGAAACAAAAAAAACAATGAAATAAAAAGAACTGGTACGTTCGTTATATACTAGCCCAGCTCAAGATCGTCATTCTCGGTGACATTCTATGTTTTCTGGCAAAGTACTAATTTAAAGAGAAAATGTGTTAGTGGAACAAAGTAATAGTTAAGAAAAAGACATTTTACAAAAAACTATTATGCTTCTTATACAAATCCAAGCCAAGATCGCCATTCTAGTGCCATTTTATCTGTTTTTCCGGTAAGTACTAACTTGCAAGAAAAAAAAAAAAATTTAATTAATAAAACAAGCTAATAAAAAAAAACAAAATAAAATTATAAAACAAGAAAAAAAAAAAGTTAAGCGAAAGTAAATCTGATTTAAAGACAAGTTGTATATCAATTTAAATAAATTCGGTTTATACTTAATATTAAAGTTTTTGAGAACCTGACTTATAGAAAATCATTTTAATCTATCTATATTAATATTATATATAAATATGATTGGTTGTTTTATAGATTTGTCCAGCGGACAAACTTGGTTGTCCGAGTCTGGTCCAAGTCCAAGTCTATTTGAGTCCGGTCCGAGTGACAACACTGTATGTAGCTAGTTGTATTTTCATCATAACAGTTGACCGAGATATCACGCAGATCACTTGATTAAATTTTTTACTATGAAATTTAAGTGATCAACACTCATATGAAATTTTTAATTTTCATAGTAAATTGCAACAGTAAACTATTTTCAATCGTTGTTTTCAGGGGTTACATAAAAGAAAACTACATTCTGTATAACGTAAAATTATTTACAACTACAAATACTTTAGTATCCTTATGTTTAAAGTAAGAAGAAAAATAAACTCGAAAAGAATCTTGTTTTCAAAAATATACATTTGTTTCATAATCTATAATACTCTAATCTTAAATTTTCTATTACAAAAAACAAGATTACTGGTAAACTTTTATATATTATTTAAAACTACTTAATCATACAGACTTACAAAACCGTTTACAGCCTATTTTTTTTTAGATTATGATTAGAAAGGAGGAAAAACATTAGTCAATTCACTTTGCAAGAATGTTATATTGACTTCTTTGGATCTTAGAATAATAAACTTGAACCAGAAAAATGAAAAGCACTAGCTAATACACTTTGACGAACCTTAATAGCTTATAGATTCCTGATCACTGACTGATCTTCTGTGAATTCTGAGATTAAAAAGTTAAGCCGTTTATTCTCTGTTTGTGTTGCATTGATATTTTGCTTTAGATTCTCTATATTAGTTTTATACCTGGCTATATTTTCTTTTATGAATTTACATTGAATATTTCTAAGCCTCATTATAAGCAAAGTAATATCTATCTTAAGTCATATTTATTAAAGACGATTTTGAAGAAATTGAATAAGTATTTTTTCTTGTATACTAGTAATTGTATTATCGCAGTTTTTGAAAATGTTGACACTAAAATATTTTGTATACTCACTATATACTGATATAAAATCATCTAACCCTAAAAAAATTTTTTGCATACTTTAAATATATTAGTTGTATTTAAAGTATACAAAAAATTATTTAGAGTTAGATAATTCTATATCAGTATATAGCGAGTATACAAAATATTTTAGTGTCAACCATTTCGAAAACTGCGATAAATAAACCACTATTTATATTTTCACACTTATTATAATAGATTAGCTATTTGGAATAATCCCAGAAGCATATTACTAGATATTAATCAGACTACTATATCATTATTTTTATACGTGTTTCATATTTATATTCGTATTGTTCTTTACTAACTTTTGGGCTTTGCTTATTATTTTTTTTATTTACATCATTTTTATTGTTCTACTCTTTTTATCACCTTTGCTTTTTACTTCTATATTTAACTTTTTTTCAAACTCTTACTTTCACTTTGCTCTTATCGTGCCTTTTTTTAGCTTCATTTTACTATTCCTATTTACTTTGGCTTTTAAAGTTCTTTAGATAAAATGTGAAAAATACAAAAAAGAAAATAAGATCAGGAATCTCTCATGGGAAGATTCCCAGCCTAAATATTATATTATAAATATAGTTAATCATATGTAAAAATAATAATGAAGGTAGTAATGAGTGACAGAAGATTATAGTAAATATTAATCTAAAATCATTTTCAATTTTGTAGTTCTATTTTCTAATTCAAAATCAAAACTAAAATTTAAGATTTTATGTAATTGAGATCTTTACTGAAATCTGAAAATCTTACTGAATTCGATAGTGTTGGAGTTAGAACTGCTAAAGTTGTTTGAACTTTCAGCTCTTTAGGCTTGAATTTTAAAAATAGATTAGTTTTAAATGATAGTTCAAAATATTTGTTAAAATTAAATAGACCATTATTTATATTATTTATAATTGCAATTATATTGTAAATTTAGAACAATTTATATATTTAATAAAATATTATACTATTATAATTTTAATTTGTTTAATAAAGTTTTTTATTTATATATTTAATTTTCTAAAAAAAAAAACTCTTAATAAGTATCATTATAGTTAAATTTAAATCACAAAGTACTAAACTATGATCCAGAGAAATTGACGTGTGTTTTTACAAAGTGCATTAGCTAATATTACAGTCAGATAAGTGCACATCTTATAAAAAGCCTCTCTAAATACATGTCTTCTCTTGGGCCCAACTAATATTATGCTTATAGATTTTTATCTCTCTAAATGCAACACCTCTCTAAATGCACGTTTGGCCAAATTTTTATATATAGTCTTGTCGCATTATATTTAGAGAAGTCTGACTGACTTCAGCACAAATCTACAAGTATTGATAGAGACCTATTAAGAATTTAATTGATAAATGCCTATTAGAAAGAATCCTTATAGTTTTCTTAAACTCCTTCACAATTTTATAACATACCCTTTAAAAATTCAATCAACTGAAACTAGGTATAAAGAAACAATTTTAGCAGTTCTAACTCCAGTACTGTAAGCTTTTTTTAAATTTAAAAATCTTGAATTTCAGTAGTTTGGATTTTGAATTGGAAAAAATAGAACTACAGAATTAAGAAAGACTTTAAGTTAAGATTCACTATAACAGAATAATTATTCCGTCTAGCTAATCTACAGTATTACAATAAGTGTAAAAAAATATAAATAATGGTATTGCCTGGTGATTTTGTCAATAAGCTAGTGCAGAAGCTAGCACAATATGAATATTGGACATCAGCTTATTTGGAATTGTGGTATAATAGATATAAGAGAGTGAAACAGAAATTATAAGTTATATAATACTCTGTATATTAAAAAAAAATTAATAAACAAATAATTTACCTTGAATATATTTTTTTTAGTATGCAATATTGTTTAAACTAAAAAGAAAAAAAAAGAAAGCTTAGTATTAAAAATTATAATTTACATAGTATAAAAATGGGTTTTCTTAAATTTCTCTAAATTTTAATAAGTTACTCTTCTTTCAAGGATGCATTTCATAAAAAGTTCTTGCTTTTGTGCATCTAACAAACCATTTTTCACGTTAAGATTCTGAAAACTCCAAAAAAATCATGCGAAAGAAGGCAAAATAATTGCCCATCTTTGAAGGGATCATATATTGCCAGGTAACATTAGTTTTTCATATTCTTTGTATTGTTCTATTCGTTAAAGCCCCAGCAACTTGCTTGTTCCAAGTTTTTGTATATTATAACTAAGACTTTGGGTAAAAATTTTAAAAACATGATTTCATTGATTTGTGTAATTTATGAAGATCATATGATAAAAAATCAAATGTGACATCTTGATCAACTAATAATACGTATGTATGTATATACGTACGTACATACATATTAGGGACCTCAGTTTTATGCGATGCGATGCACATAATGAGCCAATTTTTAGCATCGCATATGCGAAGCATAATTTGGCCCAAAATCACATAATAGTAAATAGTGTCTGTGATTGGTCGATTTTAACCAATTGATCAGTTTTTTTTTATAAAAAATTTTGAGAATTTTTTTTAGAGATTTGCTATTGCCACCTCTAAATTTAAAATAGTGCTCTGAAAGAGGTATTGTTATTAAGTAAACCCTTCTTTTGATCTTAATAAAAGTTGTTAATTAGGCCTTTCTGGTTCTAATGGTAGTAAAATCATTAAAATCGGACCAGTAGTTTCTAAGATATATATATCGAAGTTAGTTAACTTTTATATACTTTTAAAAAAAAAAACTATCAATTCGTTTTTAATGATTTTGGAACCGGAAAGGCCTGATGAACAACTTTTATTAAGATCAAAAGAAGGGTTTACTTAATAACAATACCTCTACCAGAGCACTTTTTTAAATTTAGGTGGTAGTAATAGCAAATCTCTTTTTTTATATATAGGAAATTGACCAATCCAAATTGAGTATATTTATCACATGGTTAATGGTATGAAAAAAATCGCATAATTTAACATACTGTATTTTACCGATAATAAGCACCCTCTCGGAAGAATTTTCATAACCAAAACTCTTGTGATCTAATGATTAAATCAGGGTGATTTTGGTACCATTCAAATCAACTTATCAAGGTGATTCGAATGGTACCAAAATCATGCTGATTCAATCATTAGATTACGAGAATTTTGTTATGAAAATTCTTCCGAGGGGTGCTTATTATTAGTAAAATACGATAATTTCGCATAATTTCTGAATGTAAAGCAATAGCCGCATAATTTGAACCAAAGCTGCTTGATACGTAAGTATTGAGACAGTTTTTGTCTCGAATCAGCTCGGATTAGAACATGTGACTCGTCCTGTTATAATCACATGTTCGATCGTCTGATCGATCGTTTAGGTCGATCATGGTTAAGTAAGTATAAGGTAATTTTTTGTTCTCAGGCATTTGAAAATATGAGTGTATAGTAGAAATATGAGGTAAGAATAGAATAATCGGTTAGTATGTATATAAGGTATGAAGTAATCGATAGTAGTGTTTGTGAATATATAGTACCAATGAGGTATGTTGGAAAATTAGCCTTGTTTCTTCTGCAAACCCAACATTTGTCTGGTTACATCATTCCTTCCTCTCTTGCCTAGCATAGTTTCTCTGGGTGGCCTGTCGGGACAACAGTTATGAAGGGTAAGGTTGGGCGTAGTTTGTAAGTTTGTCTTGTCATATGGCCTGTCGGACGACAGTCATATATGCATGCCGTCTTTGTAACCTGACGAAACGTCAGTCATATATGCAACTTTCTCAGACCTGCCGAGACAGCAGTCAAAACACATACACAATAGGCAGGAGAATATCCTATCTGTGTCTACATAGTTTGAACCCTGCAATGAGAGACAAAACAAAATCGCATCGCATAATTTACATTTTATTTTGTATCGCACTGAGGTCCCTAGTACGTATATAAAACGTTCCCAGACCAACGAGGTCACTTTAACACAAAAAAAAAAGAAAAGAAGTGTGAGGGACCAACATGAGGTCAATTAGTAAACCTCATGTTAGTCCCTTACAAGAAATATAAACCAGCACCAAAAAACATTCAGAATTACTTTGACAATAGTGATAAAAATAATATTTCAATACAAATAATTCTGCAAGTATATTATTGATTATCTGGCATTTACTGTTGTCTGAAGAAGAAAGCAAAGTTCCACCTAACTTGATTTCACCATTGATACCTGCTCTACCTTGCGGGGACTTGGTCCTTGAACTACTCCTATTAGTAGTAAAACTGATAAAAGAAACTTGACGAGCAAGTTTCTTTCAGCCTTAAATATTGCTTGATAGACTTAAACTCTAGTGACACTATAAATATAACAGGTTGTTTTAACACAAACTATATTCTATATACTCATTTTGGGTTTCGATCTAATTATGAATCAGAGAACATCATCCTGCCTATTTTCATGAAGACCCTGTTCGTTTTATGATGCAAATAGGTGTATTTTATCAAGGAACGGTATGTTTTAATTTTATCAAATAAATTTCGATTTTTTTTTTGTGTTTATAATAATTATATATTGTTGTCCAAAAAATTGGCCCACAATCTATTATTTGATATATTAGGAGTGGAGAAGCTATAAAAATTATATTGGGACTTGAATATTTTACAAAGGATATACTGAAGAAGTGAAAAAACATATATTAAATAGCGAACGTAGTAAATATTATTTTATATCTAAGCAATATTATATTGTGCTTATTAATTAACCCTGTTAAAATTAATTTCCATTTAAATTTTGTTTTTAGTTCTTTACATAATCGCTTATTTCTTTCTCAGACAATGCCAAATGCTACCCCAAAAATGATCGCTAAACGAAAAAAAAACTTGAAAAAGAACTACAGATTGTAGCTAACGGAATGGTAGATAAATTAATTGCTAATCTTAATAGTGTACGATTTATTAGGTTTGTTCTGCAATCTCGACAATAAATCTGAATATTTAATAGGTTTGAACAATATTATCATTTTATTTTTTAGAAATTTCATCTACTTTGTCAATAATATACTGGTAAGGATGTATCATCAAGAAATACATATATTTGAACGCGAGTTTTATGAGGCAAGTTATATATATATCCTTCTCTTATTGTTCTTTAAATTATATTAAAATGATTTTACAATTGTTATTAATTCATAAATTTTTAATAATTTGACAGCTTCGACGTGTGGCTATTCATGCTGCCCAAAATTCTCAATCACTTATCATTCTTCCATGTCATAAATCTCATGTAGATTATATTGTTATTTCTTACATATTTTTCCGTTTGGGGTTGGCTCTTCCACATATTGCTGCGGGTGACAATCTCGACTTGCCTATTGTCGGCACAGTTTTTAGGCGTAGTGGTGCATTTTTTATTCGACGAACGTGGGGTGAAGATCAACTTTATGGCAGTATTGCAAAGGAATACTTAGAGTGCTTATTAGAAAGTGGTCATAATCTTGAGTGTTTCATTGAAGGAACAAGAAGTCGTACAGGGAAGCTTTTACCTCCTAAACTTGGTATTTTAAAAAACATTCTCGAATGTATATTGTCTGGCAGAACCGAAGATTGTTGGATAGTACCAGTATCCTTACAATACGATAAAGTAGTTGAGACAGAAACCTACGTTAATGAGTTGTTGGGTAATCCCAAGGAAAAAGAAACTTTATGGAGTGTTGTAACAAATAGTAGGCTAGTGCAATTGAAATGGGGTCGCATTGATGGTTTGAAATTCATTTTATTATATTAAATAAGTTTGTTAGCTTATATGATATTGTAATGATATATGAACACATTTGTTGTATACCTTTTATAATAGTGCGATTTTCCAAGCCATTTTCACTACTATCATTCATTGAAGATCAAAAAAAGCGACGAAAGTAATATGTTATATAAATTATTGATTTCTTATTGACTTTTTTAAACTTAATTTTTTTTTTTCGTCTTCTTTTCAAGTTATAATAATCCATTGATTGAAGCACAAAAGATTACTTTGTTGAGAGCGCTTGGTTACCGGTACGCTTTCTTGTTTTTTTTTTTTTTTTAAATTAAACGAGATTTCATTTTTATATGTTTTTAAATTTCTTCTTATTTCACTTTAGGGTTTTATCGGATATTGTATGTTTTATTTTTATTTGAGTTTTCCAGTATACAACTGTTGCTGATTCTATTCGCTTGGATCACATTTTTACTGATCTTCACAAATAAATATATGCCTGTATCTTGATAGAACTCTGTTTCAGTTGTAATGCCTACTGCTCTTGGTAATTAACTTTTATTATGACTATATTTAATGTTCACGGTTTATTTATAATGCACCATATTTATGTCATATAACCTTCTTTCGTGCAAAGTTGGGACTGTAGTACTGACACTCCGTGGTAGAGTGAGTTGTAATTATTTTGATATAATTTATACCAAACCTGTGTGAATATGAATATTCATTTATTTAAACGATAATTGCAGGGTGTTGGAAGAAATGAATTAATAAGACGTGTAGATTGGTTAAAAGCCGCAATTTTGACCAGAGGAGGACGTGTTAAAGATTTTTACGGTATGAGTACGGCAGAAATTGTCGATCGGTGAGTTATATTGTTGTTAATCTTAAAATTTTAAGTTAATTAATTCGACTAGACTGTATTGTCCTTAATTATAGTGCAATTGCCGTATTAAAAGATTTGATCGTAGAAAGAAAGGATTTATTGGAACCTGTATTTTATGCAGAGAAAAGATTCGAATTAAGTTTTTACCGTAACCAGGTAAATCTAGATATAAATTGTATATTTTTATACATGCTAAATTTTTGGTTAAACAGTTTTTATCGGTTTAATTGTAGGTTATGCACTTGTTTGTTTCTGAAGGTATTTATATTGTTTTTTTTCAGGTTTTACCTTTATTTTTTTATTAGTAAATTCACCAATGTGAATTATATATTTTTTGATCAGCCATAATATCGGTAGCAATGTACACTAAAATAAAGCAAGGTGGTGCCAAACCAGCACAACGTTTGAACAGAGCTACCCTTTTAAAAGAAATAGAGTTCCTTTCTCAGTTGCTCAAAGGGGAATTTGTGTATAACCCTGGTGAAATTAAGAATAATATATATAAAACCTTGATAGGATTAAAGGTAAACTTAAAATTATTATAATTTATGAATTAATGAAATAGCGAATATTAACTTATAATCAAATAGAATGATAATGTAATTGATTATAATGATGAATATGTGGAATTATCCGATGCTGAAAGAGCTATTGGAAGAGAAAATTATGGTAATAGAATTATAATATTTCATTCATTTTCTTTCACTTGGTACGTCTATCATTAACGTAAACGTATATTCAACTTATGAATTTAGATTTTTACTGCTTTTTGATATGGCCTTTTGTCGAAACATATTGGCTTGCTAGTAAGTAGGACATTGTTGCTGTGTTTCAAATACATTGTTTTAGCATTGCTTTAGCATTTCTAATCCTTATCCAAAATAGCCATAAGTCTGTTTTCCATGACCCCTAATAATCCACCTCAATCGACGACTCCGATTGAGAATAAAACCACCAATAATATCACATGGTTTAATGAGAGAGATTTTCAAAACAAATGTCAACTTTTTGGTAAAACTTTATACTATCAAGGAGATATTTCCTATTTTGAGGCAGTGAACAAGGAAACATTAAAGAATGCATTTATTCATTTGGAAAATGCTGGCGTTATCATGGTGAAACGAAGTCGCAATGTTAAAATACAACCCACTATTGCTTTAGCACCTAAATTTATACCAACAAGGAATTCTGATGGAATCATTGAAGCTAAGGGTGAATTATGGAATTTAGTTGAAAAAATTGGAAATTTTCGAAGGGAAGGAAAAAATCGTAGAGATAACGCTACAGTTAGTTCAAGAGTATTAAAGTTAGCTGAGATGGTAGGTACTCCAACCGCAGCTGATGTAGATGTGATGAATTTAATGAATAATAAGCCTTCAAAGGCCGGAAAACGGGAAGCAAAACTTTAGTTTCTCTAAGGTTCGAAAAATCATTATTGCCACATTTTCAGGATAAACTTTAAACGTATACACACTAAAGACTATAGGTTCAAAATTATTTTCCAACATTTTTAATCAGGTTTATTTAATATACTGTATATTTGGTACATTGTTAAATATTTATTTATACGTAAAAAAAAAAGGTATAATAATGGCGGTCTCGATAATACTTGTCGAAAATTTAAGATATTTATATTGTTTTCGTTTTAACGCCATAATATCGTGTGTCATTGTAATAAGACCACAAATGATACATCTTTAAATTATTTAATAAATTCTGCTGCATTATAATACTAGGCTTTTTTATCCGTGTTTTCAGAGTTTCATGTTTAAATTTTTATTATAACCTATCAATACTTAATTTTAATTATTCTTTGACAATAATAATAATAAATGAATTTGTGATTTTCAATGTGTAACATAAAATATCTAATCGCTTCAATAGCTACCTCGCTAAATCTATAGAATTCAAAATAAATTTTTTTAGTAAATTTGATCAGGCTGTTGTTGAGATATATATTTGCTCAAAGTTTTAAGAAACCCAAAACGTCTATCAAATAGAAGTTATGTCAAATTTTTTCTAAAACTTGATCAAAGATATTTACAACTACCAGCCGTTTTTTAATAGGAATCTAAAAAAACCTTAAGGCTGATTTTTTTCTTGTCATTATACTTAACAGTAACACTATCAGAGAGTGTATCGACAATTCATCAGGAACGGTATTTTGCCCACCTGACCAAATTCGATAAAAATTTTTATTTTGACCCTATAAAAAAAATTTTCGTTGAATAGATCAGATTGTTGTCAAGATAACTTCGCTTAAAGTTTCAGATAAAGTTTGGCGTAACTTCTATTTTGATAGATATTTTTGTCTTTGAAACTTCCTAAGATATCTCAACAATACCGATCCAATTTGATGAAAAAAATTAAGAAAATTGACGCGTCTTGGTTAGCACGTAGAAAATCAACAAACCAGGCGCAGATCCTATAGCATTAACCCACGATATTGATTGGCTAACGGCCGTGATCTGTAAAATTTTTGGCCCGCATTACAAAATTGGTTACTAATTTCCGGCCGGAATTAATTTTTTGGAAAATAAGCCAATCAAAATCGAGAATCTTCCGTGAAATATTGTTGCGGCTAGGATTAATTCCTAAATTCCTACAATCAAAAAAATTTTTATCGCGCTCTATACGCTGAACTAAAAAATAATAGGCGCTATTAAGAAAACTGCCGCCTAACATGTTTCAATGAAATATGCGGAAAACTAAGAGCATGTACGCTGCGCGTATCCAATTTACATCACTGTCTACAATATAATTTCTACAGTCTTGCTCTGGATCAGGGTATGTGATTGGCCAATGATCGAGAAAGTACTACGATTAATTTAAATAATCCATACTAGAAATTCATGTTGCGAAATACAGATATCAAAAATTCCCTTCTCAATAAATACAATGTCCATAGAAATTTAATATCACTTTTCCGAAAAAATTAATACGTATTCATTTGTTGATGAAATAATCATTCTTTCATCTTAATTTGATAAATGAATTCGCGTGCCCATGACGATAATACGAATCATGTCTCTAAATTGCAAATTATTACGTGTATAATAACGAATATATTTTATTTATAATCATTCCGCATACAATATTTTTACGATTGTACAAAATATGTGTATAGTAACTACTCTAAATAGCCCCTGTCTCTTTTAACTGCAAGAAATTTATTGTTATTAAACTCTGTTATAATGTTCAAGTTATTGTATTAACTGGTTGAATAACGTTCTTAAGAAAATAATGAAGGGTTTAAATAATCCATAATATCGCCGATAATAAATCAAATGCATAGCTTAACTTCCTCCATTAATGCTTTAGCCAATAACGGAGGGACAGCGTTTCCTACTATTTACATAATCCCACGTGACAAATAAATATTTTAACTGAAATTTTTCCTGAAAACATTAAATGAAAAACTTTTTGTATATATTTACCTTGACGATATTGAGCATTTAGATCACCAAGGAAAATATAATCATCCGGAAATGTCTGAAGCCTTGCTTGTTCTCTAACTGATATATGCCTAAATTCTGTGGGATGGATATTATCCCATCCAGGATTAATTGTGCACAGTACCGTAGAAGGAATGGAATCCAGTGTGAGCCGTTTTAAATGATATGGAGATCTCTTACAATACTCCATATTGGGCGATGTGTTTGTCAATCCTAAGAAATAAAATTAAAGGATAATTCGGCAAAATCAATTATCATAATGAAAAAATAAATTGGATGATTTTATAATACCCCGAAAAGCCTTTGAAACAGTTGGCGTTGGCAGCAATCCCTTTTTTAGGTAATTAGCTCGCTCTTGTTCTGTGCATTCTCCATCTATAAAATGTGTTTGTTCTGGCCACGATGGCATAAGTATTCCCTTTTTAACCGCTATCAGGAAAAATCTCTCCCGACGTTGGCAAATTCCAAAATTTGTTGCCTTCAATATATTTGTTTCTATTTTATAGCTTAATATGAAACCAAGTATAAATTAGTTTTTTTCACTTATTTTCTGTAGTCGGCTAAATTTATTAACTCGACTGTGCCGTTCGCAATATATAAAAAGTTGGTTCCGACTATTTCTAATTAACTTGACTAAGTAGACTTTTAAAAATCGGTCAACCTAGTCGAATAAGTCGATTTTGTCTACTAACGTCAAATACTACAATTATGACAAAATTATATGAATACATACCCGATATCCTGTATATCATTGATAAACATTTTAAACATTTCATCGCTTTTACTTTTATTGAAGAATCCTCGAACATTCTCAAAAACTAAAACTTTAGGTTTTAGTTTATTGAGAACCAACGGAACAGTTAATGTTAAGACCATATTATTAGTCATGTCTATGATGTTGCCACGTGTATTTGCCATGGTATATCCTTGGCACGGTGGCGCGGCCAACAAAACATCGACTTTATGAGTTTTGCGCCTTATATGGTTTTCAATAAAGTCATAAACGTCAAGAGTATATACCATGGCGTCTTCATGATTAAGTTTATACGTTTCGGTTGCGTTTCGTTCGTTGTCAAGACCCCACTTAACTCTAAAACCTGCCATTTTTGCACCAAGTGACAAGCCTCCAGCACCACAAAATAAATCTCCAACAGTTGGAAGCTTATTTAATTTTACATTTATTTCAGTATAAAGCAATGTCTACTTGATTTCCAAGAGAACTGAAAAACCAAGACTCACGTGATCTGCGGGTTGCATTTTTAAGGATGAGTTCGACATCAGCGTTTAGACTAAATTATTCGATTTTTACGTTCATTGAGATTATATTTATACGAAATTTTCGCTTTAGAGACTTCCATATCAATTTAACAGACTACCGCTCGAAAATGATGGCTAACTTAAGTCATATTACATTAGAAGTTGATATCATTGAATATCAGAATTACAAGATAGACTCATCATTTTGATACACCAGAGACATGGGTGTTACAAAAATTTGGTCACATAGTTCGATGATCTGCATAGTAACTCAATTATTACATTTAAACTACGTAGCCTTCTGTTTATTACAAAAATCGCACCATGGAACTTGAATCGATGCTTTTGGATTATTAGTTAACTTTGTAATAAAGTTTCGAGATCATTTTTATCATTTGGTTTCCACCAAATCCAAAGATCATGATCACAATACCAATAAATAGTTTGCAGTTGCAATGGATGAGAAGGTCGAAGTTTTGGAGTGGGAATTTCTGCATTCGTAGTGAGAATCTCTGCACTAGGGTGTGTGGCATGGCTAAAAAATCCTGCATGCCATTTGCCAAAGCCCGTGCCAGGCATGCCAGGTGGCATGCCACCAAATCACGTGATAAAATACCCAATTTTGATTAGTCAGTTATATATATACGGTTTGTATCTTTCGGAATATCTCGGAACTTAGATCAATTTTTCTTTAAATTTTAATTTTTTATATCATTCCAGGTTTAATTGTGGAAAATATGTAGGCCTCTGGATTTAGCGTTAACTGTTCTACTTACTACAATAAATCAATTTTCTTTTAAATAGAAATGATTTGAAGTGGAACAAGAATTAAGGTTCATTTTCTTAGCACAAGAAAATTAATAAAAGAGCATAAATACAATTTTATAAATGGGTGCGGCAAAGGGAAAAAGGCCGTTCGGACTTTCAAGCATATTAGATTATAATATGCTCGAAAGTCCAACCGACCTTTGTCCCTTGGCTGCACTCAAATACAATATAACTTTTAATATAACTTTTAATAGATTAAATGTTTTTATAATATTAGAATTTATGATATCTTTAGTAACCGAAGTTATAAATTTGAAACTAGCTAGTGTTTTTTTCCCAGTACCACGGGAACTGGAAGTTATTCATTGATTGTATAAATATAAATTTTTTACGCCCTTACCTGATCAGCTTCTTGGTAGGTCACGGGTCAAAAATTGGCCCGAGTGATCCTGTATTTTTGAATTTGTTATATGGGGTCTTTGCCTTGAAAATGACCTTACGGTACATGATACCGTAAGGTCATTTTCAAGGCAAAGACCCCATA